ACACATTGTAAATATAACTAGAGTACGGCACTGTGCCTTTGGCTGGGAGTTGATTAACTGAATAAAGAAATGACAGAGAAGGAATTTCTCTAGCTTCATCTGTTCCTCACGGCTCGGGCAGGTATTCGGAGATACGAACAGTTCTCCATGTGGATTTCAACACTGTCTGCATAAAACAGGTTGTAAGAAAGCAGTCAATACATTTTGATACAAACTGCTGTCACAAAACCAAGCTCCTCAGATGGCTACCCTTCAACATTCAGCTCCTGATTCTGCTTTCTGTTGATCTTATTAATACCCTGACTTTCGCTGGTGTTTTGATACTCATTTCAAAGCATGCTTAGGCAGGAGCACAGTACAAGCATTATAAATTCTATTCTCGGCCTTTGCTTTTTGAAATTACTGATCTCTCTCCTATTTTCTGTTTCATGATTGCCCATTGTTTAGCGCTAATGAGAATCGTACCATACTTTCCCATAACTGGGAGGCAGCGTGCAGTTTCCCCGCTGTGTTTTGGTTTCTGTATGACTGAGTGGCGTGTGCTATCTTGCTCAGCGCTGCAGAGCCTTGGTTTCTGTGGGGGCTCATTCTGCTCGGCCTGAACCACGGATCTCAGGGGTCGCTCGCCGTCCGTTCTGGCAGAAATCGTTCCCCCCCCCCCGACCTCGCCGGGTGCTCCCCGGGGGTCCCCAGTCCGATGGGTGGCCTTTGAAGTGGCTTCGCAGGGTGTAGCGACGTCGGCGCCCGATGAGGATTTTGAATGCTGCGTGCTTAACCTGCTCTCTTCAAAGCCCCAAAGGAGGCTCCCTCACTTTAACCCACTGTGTGTGTGTGTGTGAACTTCCCTTGGAGGCTGGAAGTTAATAATCGGATTCTTCTGTCCTAAATTACCCCCAGAAAGGAACCTTCCCATAACTTGATCGCCAAGCAGTGGATTGGAAACCAGGCTTTACTAGCAATGTCTCCATACTAACTTTGCATCTTCTGTAGCTTTGTCCCTTCCATATCCCAGCAACGAGTGGCAGGAAAATGAAATCCTGGGCAACGAGCAGTGAATCGGGACTCTCACGCCCTCACGTTCTTTACCCCGCCTCTGTGTTCCTGTGTTTTCTCCAGAATGAGCGTGTCGTTCTCGGGATGATGGCCCTGCGTTTGCTGCCTCTCCTGGTCGTCCTAGCCGCTGCTGAAGTGTCCAGCCACGTGAGCCCAGGTTAGTGCTGTTGCGGTGAAGCGCAGAGAGCCCAGTGTCTCCGTGGGGCATCTCCCGGAGGAGTGGCAGTCTCTGTGAAAAATGAACTTCCACCCCTGCTGCCCCTGCTGTCCCTGCAACAGTTACAGCAGAGATAGCGTTTGCTACCACTGAAACAGCTGCTATTGCTCCTATTGCAGCTGTCAACCTCATCTGCTGCCTCATCTGCTAAGTCTATAAATGCTTTTATATCAATGTTCCACCTCCTACCACTAACTATATTAGAAGCAAGACTAGTCAAAACAGTGCTTCTCCTGGTATTGCTCATACTGGTACTGGTAATCATGCATTGTAATTTAACCCTTTTACCAGGGTCATTGTTTTAGGTTTCACTTCAAGTTGCCTTACACTCCTTGTAAAAAAAAAAAAGGGCAGCCGAGGTGAATCATAGCCTCTATATAATTAATGCTCTGTAGCAACATGCAATCGATGCACGGTGACAACTTTGGAAAGCACAGGGGAAACAAAGTCGATGAATCTGAACAGTGGAAGAAAACCCTGCCAGAAGAGCAAAATTGCTCTGCGTGGTAGATTTTTAGGAAGATGTAGAATTTAGGACGACTTATAAAGGACATTCCACCTGCTGCAGTTCAGCTCTTTGTTTAGCTGAATAAGGTCCTGTAGACTGTGACATTTTTGAGCAGATGAGCATACAGTATATACTGGTCATATTGAGCTAATGTATACTTGTGCCACATGCATGTCCTTTGATATCCGGTGTTGGCAAGACATGACATTTTTGGAAACACGGGAGACTGTTTGTGTGACTGAGATATAAAAGCATGTAGAGATGCCCGGTGCTTTCGAACGCTGGTGTCTGCCTGCCCTGCCCCTTGGAGGGCTTTTTTCGTAATAATCTCAGTACTGGAAATGCCGCCACTGCTACCTTGAAGCTTGCCAGCTGCCCCAGATAATCCAGCGGCCTTTCCAGAATGATGAGTACTTTCCCAGGGGAACTGTTCACAACCATCCCAAGACCTGGCCTTCATGAACATTCCCCAGATAATGCTTTTGTGCAAATGAGATCCCCGGGCCTGACTCTCACACTGAGGGGACCCCTACACCCCCATACCATACCATCCTTGACTGCAAATGGCACCTGTGTCCCCCAAAAACTCCCACAGCCACAATCGCCCAGATTTCGCAACTGTTGCAATACCAGAACTGCAACATCTTCTTTTGCTGCTGCCATTCCCACCTGTAGTGCTGATACTACTTTGCAAACTGCTCAGATTGCAACTGCAACTACTCATGTTTCCACTATTGCTGGCCTAATGTACTCCACTTACAGGAGGGGACCACTTCGTCCTCTACTGAAGTCACCTGGGTGACACTCAGTAATCTCCTCTGCACCAGCAGTCCCGCTACCCTGCAGTTCAGGAGAGGAAATTGCTTCTCCTGCTGTATGATGGGGAATAGCAGGTGCCCAGTGGAATTTTACTGGGGCTCTGGAGTTGATACCCCTGCTCTTTAGAAGCGTGCCTGGGATCTTTAAAGACCAAGTATTCACGACTTTGGTCTGAGGTCCCTGAACCTTATTTCCACTGGTGTCCTTGATTCATTGGCAGTCCTGAAGGCTCCTGTGGGGTAGGTTTGTCTCTACCTTCTGGAGTTTTACAGTCAATCAAACCCAGGTCCAAATTTCATGGGGAAAAAAGTGACACTTCTGAATGTTTTTTTTTTCCCCCCAATTTGAAATGATTTTCGATTTTGGATGACTTGATGGAGCAGGCCATTTCCTGAGAAACCGAAAGCACTGTTACATTCAGAGCTTGACCGATAAGATATCACAAGGGCGTTTAATAAATGCACGCAGTATCGGACTACGCCTTTCTCCTGCCCCAGTTTTTATGGCCTTTTGTGTTCTTGTCTCAGCTGTCCCCAGTCTGACGTGCACGAACGATTACATCAACAATATATCCTGTGAGTGGAGGAGCTCAGAAGCATACAGCAATACCTCCTGCAGAGTTCATCTTGTAAGGTAGGAGTATGCCATTAGGGTGTGCCGTTCCCTTTGTGCCCACAGCGGTATAATTGATATGTCTTTATGATAGTTTTTGTGGGCTATTTGTATGATAATGTGGCATCAGTCTTCTTTTATATTTAAAACCTGATTTGCTTGGCCTTCTCGGTGCTCTCCTGTATTTCTCCTGTAGGGTTACTGGCAGTAGGTTGACAGCAGGTGTTCAGCAAAAGAGGGAAAATTGACCAATTTACCCCTGGAATCTGTTAGTGGCGACATTTGTCTGTCTGAATTTGGGTAGTGCTGTGTTCTACAGTATATGACACTAAACCAGGTGTCTCCTAGCTTTTCCTAGGGAGACCCAATCTAGCTAGTCTTATCGGTCACCCTAAATAAGGGGTCTCCGTCCCCGGTTCTGGAGATCACTTCACCCTCATTGCAGATCAGTTACAAAAGGAATATTCTTCTGTTTTAGCATTACCTTCAGCTTCATTACACTGACTTTTGCTACACATTCTTCTTCTTTTTATCAGATCAACACAGCAATTGGATCTGGAAAAGGAATTAAAAGAGGTTCTGCTGGGATGACTTTGTGAATTCTGCTGGTTTATGTTGAAAACTATGTAAAAACAAGAGACTGATCTGAATTTTTTTGTTTCAAAAGGAGAAAGCAATTCCAGTGCGATCTCATCGCATCAGATGAACCAACCGTTTGCAGTTGTAGCATCCAGGTTACAAAAAATGCAAATGTAAGATCCTTAACATTTTTCTCAGCATATGCAATGGAATAATAGAAAGTTGGGGGTTTTAATCGCTTCTTACACAATATAGTGGATGTGCAACATACCCTCTGCACTGCATGGAAGCCTCACATATTGGATTACAATGTGAGCAGAGTTTGGCAGCAAATTCCAGTACTACGATAACTTAGTTTCCCTTAAATTCCATTTCGAGGAGTATGAAATGAGTATAGCCTGAATTTGTTCTCCAGATCATCACAGATGTTACAATATAAGTTACAAGAAGATAATGCTACTCATGGGGTCTTGGACATTCAGTTTAAAGTCAATTGACCATCCAACATCAACAGATTGCTCTCCCAGGGACTGGAACTAAACACTTGTATTCACATGACCAAGCTAATTAATAATATGTTAGGCCTTCAGATAAGCATTGTATATCCACATGCATGCACATCTACAACCATAGATACAGACTCTGTAGCAGGTGGTACACCAGATTCTGATACATAAACTAATGCTGTAACCATCTCCCTTTCACAGACCCAGTCATTTACATCTGTAGATGAATGTGATATTGAGGTGAGGTGTGGTGACTCCAAAGAACCTGCTGCTAAAATAAAGGACTTTAAACCTTCCGAAAATGGTAATTATTTATCTTGTGTATTTGACACAGAAATAGAAAAGATATTATTGTACATGTCCTCCAAAATGTATGTCTGTAAATGGAGTGATGGGTATGTTAGGAAGTGCTGTTAACTCTAGTCGATTATAAAAAAGGAGCACCTTTTGAAAATAAGCTGCTAAACCCTTTAACAACAACTACTTTCTGCTACTATAACTATATCCTGCCACCTGTAGTGGCAGCAGTAGTGGCCATAACGCTAATCTTAAAACACTGCATGAAAAAATCATTAGGTTTTGTACACCACTGCTACTGGTGCTACAGCTTCTACCACAAATAATATTGCTGTTTAATGTAAAACTACTAAGAACTGCAGCGCTATCTCACAGACTCTTAAGCTTTCCTCTCGTGCTGTGCTTCACAGTGAGGATGAGACCACCAGACGCACCAATCATTGTGAACTCCACTGTGTCCTGGGGTGCTGGTGAACGGGTTTCTCGGCTTATATACGAATATGAATTTCAGATCAAATACAAACGTGCTGATCAAACGTGGGAGGTGAGTGTGACACAATGTGAAAGGAAGATGACCAGTGACAGAGTGTGTGCTCATGTTCATTTCTAGTTAGTGTGCCACTGTCAATAGCACTATGGGTGTTTAACAGTCAGTCCAGTATTGTCCTCTTCCTTAGTGCCAGTGTCTTTGTTTAATAGTAGGCCAGTGTAAAGAGCACTATGGGTGTTTAACAGTCAGTCCAGTATTGTCCTCTTCCTTAGTGCCAGTGTCTTTGTTTAATAGTAGGCCAGTGTAAAGAGCAGTATGGGTGTTTAACAGTCAGTCCAGTATGTTGCTCTTCCTTAGTGGCAGTGTCAATGTCTTTGTTTAACAGTATGCCATTGTAAAGAGCAGTATGGGTGTTCAATAGTCAGTCAGTGTGTTTCTAATCCAGAGTGTCAGTGTCTGAATCTTTGTGCAACATTGTCTCAGTGTCGGCATGTTCTTGATCCGGTTTGTCACTGTCAGTATCTTTGTATAACAGTGTGTCATTCTCAGTATGTTCTTCAGGCAATGTGTCAGTGTCAATATGTGTGTGTAATGATGACTCACAGTATGTTGTTCGAGAACAGAATGTTCTCTTTCCAGAGTGTTAGTGTGGCTGCACCAGTATCAGATTGCTATTGACCTCATTCCTGAACAGTTCCCAACACAGCAGTAATGACCTCCAATGTCATGGGAACAGGAGAGCTGAAGCTCCTCTTGGTTTTTATCAAGTATTTGTAAAGACATTTGCACCCCTAACACAAATGGTGCATGAGAGAAAGCATCTTGAAAATGGAGTGGGATGGAAAGGTATTGTACTGTATACTATGGAATAGTATTTGTACCACACTGTGACACAGTACATTGCTGTTTTGGGGGAGTACTAATTACTAGTCGTTTAGGGATTTCACTGATTGCACCAATTCAGAGTATGGAGATGTTAAAGAAAAGTTTGAAACAGTTCCAGTAAACCACTCAACTTCAGCAACCTTAAACTACGGGACATGGATGCTGGGAATTATTTCATTTGGGGGTTTGTGTCAAGAGAAAGCTTGCTGATGTTCTTGCTCCTGTGTGTTCTAGGAGGCAGAGTCCAGGGTGGTTGTGAACAAGGAGAATTCGACCCAGTTGAATGAGAACATGCTGGAGAAGGGTGCACTGTATCAGGTCAAGGTCAGGGTCCGTCCAGCTGCAAAGGGTCCACTGAAAGGAGTGTGGAGCCACTGGAGTCCTGTCTCTGAGTGGACATCCACTGTTGGCATCGTCAAGCCCGGTATGTTCCCTGTCATTGCCCCTTACACTAGCTTCATTGCTTCACTTTAATAAGCAGATGGTTTTCCATTTCTTACACTAGGGATATCGATCTGACTGGATAAATCATGAACATTTTAAGCTTTTAAATTTGTGTTTGTGTCAATGTGTCTGCCCTGCGATGGACTAGCGTCCTGTCCAAGGTGTATCCTGCCTTGTGCCCTATGCTTGCCCGGATAGGCACCGGTTCTCTTATGATCCTTAATTGGATGAAACAGTTAGAACAAGGATGGATGAATAAAATAAGGGCTGCAAATTCGTCATGTTCGTAATGAGCTCTCTTCTGAAACATCACCACAGTAACACTTGAATAACCCGTGGCTGCTCCTTTTATTGGTGAAGACAACTTGGTAACAAGTAAGATAACAGATAATGATCCGTAGGGAGGCTGTTTCCATATCTTAGACACTTCAGCTCATTATGCCAGAGCTCATCATATAATGGCATTAAGAGAACAAGAGGGCATAGAACACTGGTCCATCACAGGGATTACGCCCAGGAATTTATACAACTAGGTGGACTGAAGCAACTGGGGTACAGTATTTGACTTCTGAACAAAATGAGGGCCTGCAGCAGGGACGTGAACCCACTTACCACTAGTTATGGGTTCAGAGACTTTCCCACTACATGATGTTGCCCCCAGATTCCTAAAAAAAACAAGTGACAAGTGCATTGCTTGTGAGTGAGTGAGAAGTGTGATATTTATATGCCAGTGAGCAGAAATGCATGAAATTACAGTTCTACCTCCTACTGGACATTTGTCTTAATGTCATTATTGTTTCAGCATCTTTAAAAGGAGTATATTTATATGAAATGTTTGATGCATGATACAAAAGCAGTTCCCCTATTTTGGGATCTGGAGAAAAGTGACACCTTTTCAACCTTTTAAGCTAATAGCTTGACCGATAAAGAGGTGCCATCTTGTTGCGAGGAAGCGTCCCTCCCAGGTTTCATACTCCAACATCTGAGGGAAAAGGTATTCATCTGGGTGCTCAAGCTAATCAAATCGAGGGAGGCCTTCTAAATTCTGACATTGCGGATTATTTTTTTATTACATAAACAGAATTGGGAGTAAATCCCTTACGCCTGGACTCAACAACTCCTGTGCCCACAAGGGGGACATCACGAGCAAAGTGTATAGACGGGCAGCTCCAACCTGCCACCTCTCGAGTCATTAATCTCTTGACCCGCTAGGAGCTGTGGTGCATCTGGGGTGCAGTGGCCCCGGAAAGCTCTGGCCTCACTGGTATTGCCAGTATGGGACCCAGGCTGAGACATGCAGCCTGGATCATAAAGCTCGAACCTGGGTTCGCAGCAAGCCTCGTTGCTGGCTGAGCCATTCTGGTGTGAGGAGGGAGTTTATGACGTTTTAGAACTGAACGCATCTTCATTCAAGGGGGTGCTGCAGCCGATACCCCTGCTCCTTTCAAGGAAGGGCTGGGTGAGACCCTCAGATCAAGTGGCCACCTCTCGCTCGTAACCTTTCTTCTGTTCTCTTGAAGTAAAACAACAGAATTCCTGTACATTTCCTCATCCGATGCCTGTGCTTCCATCAGCAGTAAAACGCGCCTACAACCCGGGCTCAAACGACAAGGAGATCATGGACATCACTTTAGCAGTGGCGATTCCAGCAGTGATAGCAGTTTTCCTGACCATCTGTATTTGTGGAATTTGGAGCCCTAAATGGTGAGAACCCGGCCGTCGAGGAGATGTGGGACATGGGATGAGAGGAGTGTTCAACTGTTCTGAATTTCCTTTCTAATTAAACCTAACCCTTTGTACGGAAAATAGGGTCCGGCTTGGTAAAAGCCAAATGACAGGGCAGGACTGTTTCAAAGCTGTCCTGAAGTTCTTGCGATGGTAGTTACAGATTTAAACAGCCTTCTGCCTGCGTGAGGGAGCTGCCTCTGCATGTGGCTGAGATTTTCCTTTCCCTTCTGTTTTTCAGGTCCTATAAGTGCCTTCATGTCCCCGATCCCTCGAAGTACTTTGACCCTCTGAACTCTGTCCACGGAGGAAACTTCCAGGTAAGGCGACCTGCACCTTACTTTGGTACAGCTGATACTGTAACCATTCATCAGCTAGAAAGATGTGCTTTAGGTATGGGATGGGATAGGATGGAATGAGATGTCGTAGGATTGGAATAATGGGATGGGATGGAATGAAATGGGATTGATGAATGGGATGAGTTAATGGGATAGGATAGGATGGAATTGGGTGGATGAATGGAATGAGATGGATGGGAGGGAATGGGATAGGATAGGATGGGTGGAATGGGATAGAAGGATAGGATGGATGAATATGATGGAATGGGATAGGATAGGATGGAATTGGGTGGATGAGTGGGATAGAAGAGATGGATGGGAGGGAATGGGATAGGATAGGATGGGTGGAATGGGATAGAAGGATAGGATGGATGAATATGATGGAATGGGATAGGATAGGATGGAATTGGGTGGATGAGTGGGATAGAATAGATGGAATCCAATGGAATGATTTCCTATATTATTCTCTACAGTTTCCTCAATGAGTGTGTTACTGAATCCTTTACCTTATGTTGGTTAGTGAGCTAGGCCCTAAAACATAATTAAAACACACCTTCTCCCCGTTTACGGAAAGCACAGAAGCGTTGCTGAACCTTGAAAATCGAAAGGTATCTCTGACGTCAGACTCTGTGGTTGACCTTTAACAAAACCTGCACAGAAACAAAATGAACAGCAAACCATTCAGGCAAAAGGCTGGCTTTTTATCTCACTGTTTATTTGATGTAATTTGAGGGAATGGAGTTGTTCTCACTGCCTCATTTAAAAAAAAAAATCAAGGGACAAAACCCCCCATGCTTATGACTTTGCCATTTTACAGACATGCAAAAAAAGAGAAAAGTGTGAAAAATTTGAAGTACTTTTTTGCTTTCTCAAGGAAGTGCTTTCAACCACACGAAAAGCCCCGCAGTGTGTTCCACAGGGAAACGCCTTCTGAAAAGAGCCTTTGTGTGGTTTCTGTATTGTGCTGAGTCCCCCTCCCCACACACACCCACACACACACACCCACACACACACGGCCTGCTCCTGGCCCAGCTTGATGGCATCATGAGTGCAAGTTAAAGACAGCGAGAGACAAGGGAAGGATAGCACCAGCAGGGAAAGGCGAGGGAGAGAAGGTTCAGAGATGGAGAGGAGGGAGAAGAGCAGAAGGAAAAAGCACGTTTATGAAAACAACAAGTGGATGAATGGATGACTAGAGGGGTGGATGAATGGATGGAGGGATAAACAGAGCACTGCCTTCTTTTTGAGCAGGATGTGGGTTCTCCTCATGCCTGAGAAAAAACGCGGCACAAATGAGTCTTTTCACACCCACTTGAGATGCACTGAAATCTCACGCTCGGGCAATCCCTGTAGTGTCATGTTTGCTCTTGCTAAATGCAATCTGTTGTTTGATGGTGAAATTGTCTGCAAGTGAATCAATCGCAGTGATCATTATTCACCATAATCTTCAAACCCCTGTAAAACGGGAAGCTTGTTTACATTCCCCCTTTGATTCCAAGTATCTAACACGGAAATGTTGCATTTGCTAACATGCATACTGATGTGTAGTTGCCATGCATGATGAATTAGGTAATCCAGTTAGCCATTCCCCTTTTCCCGCAACCAATCAGAACAGTTGACCAATGTCTTTGATGTAAATGGAAAAGAAAACGTTTTTTCATTCATTATCAGTTAATATTACTTGTTCTGACATCACTACATAAACAGTAGTTAATAACAACCGTCAGATGTCAGCGCCTTAGGGTTAGACCTGCACCGTTAGGGTTTTACGCCTGGCAATAATTACTAGCAGTTGTGAATTCATGGTCACGGATTGCAGCACATTACCCCAAATTTACACTTTCCAATGTTTCACTGGAATATGTGTTTTCCAGCAGAACCCAACATGGGGACTTGGGGAAAAAAAAAACAGCTATGATGACAGTTCTCTGATCTACGTCTTAATACTTGGATGTCAGGTGATAGAGAGCACTTCCAGAAATTAAAACCTTAAATATGGAGTTGGCTAAGATAGGTGTAAAATCCAGAAAAATGGTTGCTTGCAAATAAACCCATCCTCTTTAGTACGGTTGTGCTACGTGTTTTTTTTTTTAATTTCTTAGTCTTAGACTGCTTGGACAATCAAGAAGATGTGGCAGCTCATTTTTGTCTTTATAGTATTCTCTATCATGCACGGGCAATTGTCAAGTAACTTTCATCTTGCACGTGCATATGTGGTGTATATATACCGTATGGTTATGTGCGAGACACCGAAACATGCAACTGTGGTGCGATTTAGGAAAATGAAACATTTTCAACAAGCTTCGGTGGCAGGCTTATGCAGCCGGACAGTCCATTTTTGAAATGAGTCGCGTGTTACTTTTTACGTTTGTTAGATGAATTCATTTTTCTGTTAGCAAATATTGCAAGGGGTTCCCCAGGGGCTTGATTTGGAAACCATTCCGCCGGTCTGTTCAGAATGAAACATCGGGTACAGAGCTAGAAGGCACCTGAACTCTGGGGAAGTACCTTTGGATTTTTGGGTGAGCCTGCGCATTAAAAAGTTGTTTTCCTTTCTGTCTCAGAAATGGCTGAGCCCCACTTTCTCCCCCGAATCCTTTGACACCCTCAACTCGGAGCCCGTTTCGCCCGTGGAAGTGTTCGAGGCCAAGGACACCACCAGCCTCTTCAAGAAGGCCTACCCCAGCCTGCAGGAGCACTGGGACAGCAGCGGCCAGTCCTCCTGCTTCTCCAACATGGGTTACTTCTACTCCAAGCACCCCAGCTCGTACGAGATCGAGTCCTGCTCCGTCTACTTCAGCTACCAGCCGGCGGAGTTCGACAGCGAGGAAGGAGGCAGCGGCGACGGTGGGGACACCCCCATTCAAACCAGCTCTTCCTACGAGCGGCTGGATCCTTCCTCGCGCGAGCAATCCGATCCCGAGCATCCCGATTCGGGCTGCGGCATGGAAAGAGGGGAAGAAGGCGACCAGGAGACGGAGGACGGGAGAGAGGGAGGAGAAGAAGCCAATCCTTCGCTTTTGGGGCCCGGTTGTCCTCCGCCTCCTTTCAACCCAGCTTTTCTTCCTGCCTTCCCCCCTCCCTTTCGCCTGCCAGGAAGTCACCCCCAGCTCCTGGCTCACCCCCCATTCCCCTTCCCCCTGCCTGGCTTCGACTTCCGAGCCTTCGGCAGCGGACAGGCGCTGGACAGTGCCCTTTCCAAAGCCTCTTCAGCTCTGATCCAGCCCTCCGGAGGCGGCTATCTGTCCGTGAAGGATGTCCAGAACCGATACTGCAACAAGTCCATTTGAAACCAGGAAGCTTGGAAGGACATTTCGGATTCAAGTGCGGCGCGACGTCTTTTGTCCAACCCGACCCCCCCCCCCCAACCCTTCTTGTTTTGATTGGTTCAAATCCCAGCCGCGCGTAGTGGCGGCCAGGATGACTCGCGGCCAAGCTAACTTGCGCAAGGGAAGGAATGTAAAGCAAACTCGAACATTGGCGATCTCGGGGCACGATCTCCCACACCGGATCCTGGAGAGCCCTCGTGCCTTCTGGGTTTTGCCTGCTTTGCTTCAGGAACACCAAAGTATAGGATTAACCTGTCGATTATTAACTTGGTCTTGAGTCCCAGATTGATCAGGCCTATTCAGTCACAGGAATGGTCCAGGACCTTATTGGTAGAACAGAAACCTGTAGGTCTGAGGTCACAGCAACTCACTGCACCTCAAACACAGTCATGCACATCCAAACAGAGAGGGTGTGCTAAGAATGAAGTCTTACCGATTTCTTTTTTTCATGATTACATGTTTTCCAAGCTTGGTTTCTTTCGGGAGTAATAAACACCAGTCCCTGCCAAAATACAGGGGTGTATCTGATACTCCAATTTTGAATGAAATCAAGCATATAGTGGGAATTTTGGGGCAGGTGTTCACTTTTTGAGCATAGGCTTGTACTTTTGCAGAGTTACGAGGCAGTGCCTTGTCTCCTTTTCCAAGCCACTGACTGGTTTATGAAAAGGTACTTGCTGCAGGGGCTTATTTCTATTTCAGTTGATTGTGTCGATGACATAGTCCAAGCCAGGACAAGTAGTAAGTGGACTCCCAGCATTTAACCCCACGTTTCACAGCACCTGGTCTGTGGATCTGCACCAGTCCCTGCTGTGACCTTAAGTAACATTACCAATAAAACTGTATTCTTGTTCTGGACCATATTTTCACCTACACAGTCTTCAAAGGATGAGAGCTGGTCTCTGGTGCAAAAAAAGGATTGAGAAACTCTGATTCATCTACTCTCTCAATAGGCACCATCACTGGCAGAACCAGTCTCTACTCTGAGAGTAGGTGGGGAATGAGAGTGTATTCTGCCCTAAAGTGGACGCAGGAACGTCTCCTAATCCCCAAAATCTCTACTTCTCTCTAAAGGAAGCCCTTCTCTGCACAGACAGCACAACGAAGTGTGTACAAGCACAGGTCGCTGGTCCTGATTCTCTGCTCAAGGTTTCTTGTGCCGAACAAATAAAGGACTGCCTGAAGTTTCAGGTCATGCTGTCTTGAAACATCATACACAGCAATGTGCAGGGAGAATGATTGCCTACTCTTTGTGAAATGGCTAATGACGACAATGAAACAGTGGTCTAAAGTGATCTTTGCTGATTTTGTTTCCCTTCTGGTAGCAGCTGTCATTTATAAACTGGCCAGAATGGCGTGAGCAAAAAGACTGTGCCGTCACATACCTGCAGAACAGAAAGTTCTGTACTCAGTGTTTCCATTCTGTACTGCTTTAACCTGTCAAGGCCTGACAACACAAATGCTTGACAACTGCACTTTTAAAGTTTCACCAGTTTTCCTCTACACTATCGGTTTCACCATGCGTTCTGCACTCCACAAAGAGAGCTGTATGACAGCAGATACTTACAAAGTGTGTGTGAGACACCCCTCTTCTGGTAAATTATGGTATTGTCATACTCTGCTGTGCATTGCTGAAGAGAATCATGGGACAGGTGCAGACACGACAGGAACAGCAGAACAGTACAAACCTTCATAAAGGGTACCACCGACAAATGGTTTTGTCTCTTGCCCTTTTAGTATTGAGGGGTCCATTTTTAATAGCCATCGCTAGCTGACTGTGTATTTATTTCTTTATTGTTATCATTATTTTATTTAGGAAGCATGCCGAGGTCATCAAACAAGACTACCTACCAAATATGGACACCATCTTATAAGCTATTTTGTGTTCTGGCTGTCTGGAGAATCTTCTTAGGCAGAGGCTTCTTCCAAGAACAGTACAACAAGCCATTGAGCAATCTTGCATCTGACTATTTACAGGAAGCCTCCTGACATTTCTTTCACTCAACACTTAGCAATTATCCAGACCAGGGGCAGTGCGTACGAAATGAATGGGATGCTGCTGCTGTTCACCAAGAAGAAATAAACAGCAGGATGTAGCAAGTACAGTTTTTTCAAGCGTTCAAAGTGCAGGACAATTTGAGTCTCTATGAATTTTGTTAGACTTCACATTGAGTTTGGGCCTTTCATGCCATCTGCTGGTCCAGCACATTTCTATACTGGTTGTATGAGAAGAAATACTGCTATCTGGTCTCCAATACTTTAAAAAAAAACTAAAGGCTAATGCTTTGGTACCTCAGACTGTTAATTTCTCCAAAGAACAAGTCTTCTGGCCTGGCTCTGACGCCGTTGTCTTGTTATCTCGTGTCAGTGTTATCACCATATCTCGACAGGTTCTCCTGTCTTTTTTTTTATCGTTTTGTTTTATGAGGCTTACTAGCTCCACTTTTGAGAAAGAAGATTGGGCTCTCTTTTTTTTAATGTGAGAAAGACTTTATTGTGGTTGGCCCCGAAACCTGCAGTGCAAAGAAACCAAAAGTAAAAACAGTGCAGTCAATGTCTAGGTATCGCGTGTTTTTGTTTTTCAAATGTATAATTTCGTTATGATTTCTATTTCTGTTGATTCAGTTGTTGTCTGGATTTTTAATCATATATGACTGGCTTAGGCACTAGCATCTTAGAAAGTGTTTAAAGTGCATTTCTGTTTAGTGGCCAAAAACAAGGCTAGTATAGTATACAGTACGTTATTTATGATTTCTGTATATTTTTACTGATATGATTAATAATAATGTTTGGTTGGTATCGTTAATAGCTCACCACCAAATGTCATTAAGTAGAATTTGGAATGAAGTGTTTGCTGTTACTTTTATGTACCTAAGTACATACAGTATTACAATATTTGAAGCAATCCCCAAGCACACACCTGGGTACACAAAAGTAACTACTGAGTCAACAAAAAAAACATAAGAAGATGTCTTTCCAATGTAGGGGAAACCCATGTAATGTAGCTGTAGTCCGATATAATGCTGTCACAGCATCTTTCAGATTGCTCTGGGTTTAATGTTTTGTTAATAAGTTTAAAGTTCATAAAGTTTTGAAAAAAGGTGACAGAGCTTTGCTAACCTTCAGGGGCTTATCAGGCATTTAAATTGAACAGATTTTTGAGTGATTGCAACATTTTTCTGTAGCAGATCTTAATAGGATGCCATTCAAAGTGTTTTGCAAACGAGAGAATTGGCTCTAATTTGTTTATTTGTGCATCAAATACACTAAAGCCAATGCCCCTTCATTGTGGTTAAGTAAAATTGTATTCAATTTTTTCTTTGCATATCTCTGTTGTTTATTAGGAGTAAAATGAATCATTCATAATAGTGTTAAGAGTAAAATTTGCTCTTTGGAAGGTTTACACTTCCTATCATGAAACAGGTAGAAAACATTGAATTGCAGTTGAATGACAAAATTCACTTCAGTTGTAACTTCTGGTGGAAACAAAATCACTCCGAAAATGACATTTTTTCTATTTGCATGTACTTGTATAAGAACAGAAATAAAAACCATGCTGCTAGTTTAAATATAAGGACTTGCTCACTGACAGCTGTATTCGTAATAAAGTATTTTTATTGAAGGCTTGTTCGTGTGTTTTTGTTCAATGGCCATGTGAACTATAGCTTTGCCGCATCATGTGTCTGTTAACAACAGACACAACCACGTGAGAGGTTTAATTACAAATTGTGGAACTGAAAACTGATTGTAATGGGAATACAATTTCAGCACAGCTGCTGTTCTAAAGATTATATGGTACTAATGTGAAATCACTCATCAACAATTCAAATGAATGAACTTGTTCAAAATTTCATGATTTGATACAGGTACATAGTGTATCGGGATAGTGTTGTTGGGATGGGATTTCACAGCAGAAGAGTGAAATTAGGTTTTCTAAATGCGTGGAAGCCTCCATATAGGGTTAATGAACTCTGTCCTTAATCGGCATCTACAGCAATTCACAAACACAGAGAAACCTGTCAATTATTCAGAATATAAATTTTACAATGTCAGCGATTAGGGCTATTACAGCTATCAACACATCTGCTAAAGGGGAAGGTGGCGATTTATTTTTTCAATTTACACACGATTGACAAGTCTCGTTCCTCCTCTGAAATTTATCTGCTGGTTTTAAAGAAATGCACGTGCCATCACTAGTCACTGAATGCTACCGTTTTAAACCAGTGTTGTAAATGCCAGTACCACAACACAAATCTAAAAACCCGATTTGCAATTCAGCTAAAAAAAATAGCTTCAATTTCAATTTCAGCAAACAATGATGTTCTGTTTGTATTTTAGCTCTGATTGAGATTTTTTTTTTTGCTTAACTGATGAATTAGCAAGAAACGTACTGCTTAAGAAAACCTGGGCTACCCCTAGGATTGTCATACTCACTCTTGCCCAAGTCCAGGGCATTCCTAATACAACAGGTGGATCTACTAATCAGGCAATTAGTTGAATTAGAGGAATTTTTGATTGGGAAAAACTCCAATGCTTTGTCGGTCAGGAAAATATCAGAAACAGTTTCAGTGCAAGCTTGTCTTTCTTAGGTCAGCCTGAGACATGTCTACAAAGTGCATGGTCCTGTGTTCTACATGCTTTAAATTCTCCAGTGTACAACAGGTGGATCAGGCTGTTACCACCTCCTGTGGAAGAAGATCTGTTCCACCTGCCCACATTCAGCTCAGGGCCACCTGTGCATTGCTAGAACGCTCAGTCTGAGTAATTCATTGCTCGTCTCAGGGTTCTCATTGTTCACACCTCTATGCTCTGACCCACAATTTCTGGATTTCCCCTGCACTGCTTTCCACGCTTCCCTGGCTTTGGACTTGCTAACTTCCTGGGTTCTGCCTATGGATCTCCGTTTGGTCCTTTTCCTTGTGTTCCCTGGTTTCGACCTTCAGCCTGCCTTTGGATTACAGCTCCGGACTGTGTTTTGTTTTCCCCTGCTTCTCACCTGGCTGACATCTTCCCTTTGCCATCATCTGGATCCTGCCGTTAGTCTCCAATCGCTACATCATACTGTATTGTAAGTACACAGTATTACCAATTACCATAAAAATTGTAAGATATCGCAGGGAGGAGCTGGGATACAGCAACAGTGGGTACTTTCTATGCAAGTGTATAAAGCAACAACTAATACTGTACTTCTTTTATATTACAGAAGCTGATGGGAGGACAGGTCAATGTGTGTCCCTTCTTGTTAGGAGATACTTGAGATACATTGAAATATGTGCTTAAACACAGTTTCGCAGACATCCTTCTCAGTATGGGAAAAACACATCAGTCCATCTAAGAATAGGCTGATTTATCAGGCAAGATAGACACAGCTGTCCAGTTTCTCTTGTGAAATAAAAATGGCATTGAGGGGTGTTTTCTTCAGATTCCTCATCAAACCACTGTGGTGCATTTTTTAAAAAGCGAACAAGCATTTCTCTCAGGAGAGATTCAAAGGTATTAGTGAATCTAATGAGTGCAGTGAGTAAGAATGAACATCAGTTCTCTCCCTCTACCTCTTTGGACGCGGCATTTCAAATCTTTTATACACTGTACATACTGTATTTCCAGATTTGTCATTTAGATGCCCACGTCTCTGACTGAGGAAAATGTCCCCCGCTGTTTACTTTGGCAAAACTGCAAGAAGGCTGGATGAAGATCAGGGAGCATGTCAGAGCAGAGAGGATCACTAGTCTCTCCAAGCCGATAATTCCCCATTTCACTTCTGGTGGCCACGGTCGGCTCCTACTCCAGAAAGACAACCAAAGCCAAGATTAACCTTCAACTTGGATCACACCTTCCCCCTTCTCTCCACGACAGGCTAATGTCTTTTTCAATCCTCTCCGTTCATTTAGAGAATTCATTTTTCACACCTCTCCCACAGAACCCCCCTTCCTGTGAGGACTCTTCATCAGCGACGGTCTGTGCTCATTCCGTCTTTCGCTTCATATTCCAGACACTGTTCTGGACATGACAGAACGTGGCCACATTGTGACGCTCCATAATGATGCTGGCAGAATGTAGCCCATGACCTCATGCACATTGCAGTTAAATAAAGGCTGCTTGATCTTTTGGGTAAGAATATCTGTGTGCAACAGCCTTTAATGGATCATAGAACTATTACTGACATAAATGCAACAGGATGTTGGTATTTCCTTTCCAGTTCAGTTTCTGAGAACCACTGTGGGTTCAGTTACTATTAATGATAAATTTATACTTTTCTGTCTGACATTTTTTTTCTGTAAAACCCTGTACCTTGTCAGCTAGAAATAGGCCTAAAGAAGTTTCACTGCAGCCTTGTCTTTATTACAGTACCTCCCCTAGACACGTTTACAAAATGCACTGTCCTATTTTCTACATTCATTTAAATTCTCCAATGTATATTGGTATCTATACATATTTTTCATAATCTATGATGTTCGACAGCTGAGTAGTAATATGTAGCTGATCTGTCCAACACAAACCTGAGTTTTAAATGACACTATCAATGCTTACATTCTATTAGGGCCAATGTTTGGAAAGATGACTCATTCCTGCTTATTCCAAAATCACATTAAGTAGTGGAAAATAAAGCATTATGTGACTGTGGTAGAGGGGTTCATACTTAAAGGAAGCACCTTGTGAATCAGTGTAGACAGCAATCCTGATACCGTTTTGTTCTGAGGTGCAATTTGCAATACCCACTTCCACAGGAATTTGGGAACACAGCCCAAGAAGCCCAAGAAGGTTTTGGGGTTGAATGGGTCAGTGGAGGACAGTCCTTACGCGCTCACTTTCTTTTCTTCAATATTACGAATTATTTTATACTTTCTACCCACCAATCTGGCATCGCCTGCAGGTTCGTACCTTGGTTCACCCCCACACCTGGAAGTAACAAGGGCCTGTGCGCTCATTCTTCCACCACACCTATTTCTCTAAGTCATTTGCCATTTGACATACTGTACTGTGACATCAACAGTGACCTACAGGAGAGTCAGACTGGATTGGAAGAGGAGAACAGCTCTGATGATGTCACTGGGGTGGGGCTAGAGCATGTGTAGGCAGGCCCAGCTAACTGAAACTTCCCCCACCATGGAGGAAAACAGCCACTTATGGTTCTGATTGGTGTACACTGGACTGAACAATACCCCAGTCTAAATTTGGCAAGCCTAGCCCACTGTCTGAGGGGGCACATTTACTGATTCGGCCCCTCAGGAGCCACAGGCGTTTACTCCAGATGAAGATGGCCAAGCCATGGCAAAGTCATAGCAGCAGAATCTAGAGGTACCTTATAATCTACACTTTTATCTTTTTTCTACAAAAAATAATGCTTTTCACAACTTTCAGTATAGGTAACTTTAGGGCAGGGAGTGGAGGGGTAGTCCTGAATCAGAAGGCAAAGAAAAGGAAAGAACTGATGAGAAGGAAAGAACCTTTTCAAGCTCACTGCCTTATTAGGCTGTGAAAGACAGTGCCAGTGTCTGGCGTGCAACAGGAAGCCTGATTTTTCTTTTAAAGAGTAAGCTTGTTAAAGGAAACTGTTGCTTTCATGTGGGTTGATTTATGTTTCCTCCTTGCCTACAGCCCCACGAAAGGAGAGCTCGAAAAGGCAGCTGGTGGAGGCGTGGGGATGGGGGCGGTGGATCAGAATTGGCAGTTCCAAAAACAAAATCCCAATACCAGCGAGTGAGAAATCAAGCCTACTGGAGCGTGAAACCCAGCTTACAGGACAGGACCACTCAGCGCAGCACCGAAACACTGAAACCGGTTGGCTTCGACTCCACCTGTCCATCTGTGCTGCAGGTTTTGCTGGAATGGTCTGCTAGGAGGGTGTGACTGAACCAGCCACATAACAGAACTTAACTGCAGAACAGAACAGGAGCTGACGGGGTCAACATGAGGAAGCAGGGAAGGTGAGCAAAGCTCCAGCCCACCATTCATCCTCCATTTCTGCCTGGAATGGATGTGCCCTGGAACATCTTACAGCTTGCAGAACCACTGCCGGCTTTGTCAAGTCATACAGGCTGGGCAATGTATAAGCCTGGTCTAAATCTGGGCTAGGAGACTAGTCAACTTTAGAGCAGTCTCCAAGCAGTGGTGCTAAGGTGGTACAATGGACTTGAAGCTGCACGTGATTGACCTCCCGGCCTGATGGGCACTGTGATCTCCAGTGACATCACCGAGAGGTGCCTCCATTGTCCTTTATGAGGCATTTGACCCTGCTGTTGCTGATGTGGGCTTTGGCAAGGGTTGGCATGTGGTCTGCATCGCTTTTCTGCTGGAACACGGGCAGCAGCAATGAGCCAGGGTACCGACAGTGTTGACTGAAGACTGAAGAGTAGAAAACGAAAATGATCAGTTCCAATTCCCTGTTATGTGCAATTCTCTGCTCTCGGAGACAACTGAATTACTGTATTGTGTGTGTGTGGGCCGGGGAGTCCCAGTTATTACAACTGTTCAAACGGTAGCCATTCACAAAGTAATCAATTGCAGAACACCTTTAGGTGAGGACACGGTCTCTGATCACCAACATTTACAACAACAGTGTGACTGACAGAAAGGTCACACAACTTTGGGTGTATCTACTGTAAGTGTATTGCCACATGT